AAAAGTTAAAACCATAAAATACAAGCCATTTGAAAATGTAACTAGAGTGTGGCCACTAGGATAGATGGGGTGGGGCAAGGAGGGGTTGGGGGGTAAAAAAAAATCCCCTATCAGAATAAAATGGATAATGAGGCTTCTTAATTTCCATAGCTAATAAGGAAATTTTCAACCTAATAGCAACTTCCAATTAAAATATTTGTTCGTTTCCACAGAATACAAACAACATTTTATTGAATACTTGTCCACGTCAACTACAAGGCTTATAAATTGAACGAGACACAAATAAAACATCAATTTGCTGTCCAAAGAGTCCTTGATAGTGATTAAAAAATTATCAATCATTCTTGATCGGCATAAGTTCAACAAGGAAAACCAAAGTGTGCTCAAATTGATACAGCTTCTGACCCAACACCGCCCACTCTTCCACATAGCATTCACTTCAGAAAATAAAAATTGATCCAATCATTATAATCAGCATCGGCATAATTCTGGATTCATAAAATTCTCTTCTGGATATTCGCCTATGTTTCTTTTTTCTCTCTCGCAATTACCCCCTATTTTACTAGAGCAAGAGTTTTCTTATTGTTGCTTAATTTAAACTCTATAGGGAGATTTTTGTGTGTTTGCACGGGAGCCAAAACTCCATGAAAACACACTATTTGATAAGCTCCCTAAATACCCACGAAAGTTAAGAACACAAACAGTCCAAATCTCCACAAAATTTTAGATTATAAACTTCAAATATCTAAAATACAAAGAATCCAAAATCACAATCACGATTTAAGTTTAGAATCGAAAATTTCATAAATTATTGCTTACCTTATTTACAATCGCCGGATCTGGATGTCAAGGATCTGCCACTGCCGGGAGAAGAATCGCTGGAAGGGGGTTGTAGATCTGGAAAATCCGCCGCTGCCGTCAGGACCGCCGGCGTCGTTCGTAGATGGTCGTCACTCTCTCGCAAATAATTTCTTTCCTTTTCCTCACTCTCTCGCAATTTCGTCCTAAATTTCAACAAGGGTTTAATTATAATTGCTATATTCCTCTATTGGGATTTGGGAATACAGGCAGATAGGCCGTTTCCCGTTCTTAAAAGCAGTTTTCAACTAACGCCCGAGACGACGAATCTAAAGAAGAGAGAAAAAAAATTGCTCTTCGATTAAACACAAAAGATCTCAAACTCGATGAAATTACCTGCAGTTTGCAGACGGAACGAAATTCCCCAATTATCACCCTAGTTAGAGAGAGGCAAGGCCCGTGCTTCTGGCGAGCGGCGACTGTCTGAAAAAGAGTGCGATAGACCGACGGCTTTCAATTCGAGAGCGGTAGGTTCTTTCCGGCAAAATTCCCCAATACTTAACCCTAATTGGATAGAGGCCACACCGAACGCAAGGTCAGGCCTTAACTTCCGGCGAGCGGCGACCGTCGGAGAGATAGAGACTGAGCTAGCGGAGCGCGAGAGACGAAGGGCCTTCCAATTCGAGAGACGAGGGTTTTTGGCGCTGGCGCTGGCGCCGGCAGTTTCGAGAGAAAGATGGAAAGTTCTGTGACCAGATCGGGGACGACGATACCGTAGGAGCCGTGGAAATAAAATGCTTTTGTAATTTATCCACTTTTTTTTTTCTCTTTTTAATTTGCTAGAATGAAATAAAAGTTACGAATAACTTTGGTAGCAAGTATTCTAGATGGGCTGGGCTTCTGAGTAATTCGGGATGTTGGGATTTGGAATATTGGGCTGAGCTTGATAGCAGGTTTTGGGTCTTCGCGGTTAGTTTTCTAAATGGGTTGGGCCGCGGGGTAAGCCCGTGTATATATGTGTGGTATGTCGTGTTATTCGTTTTTCTCACTGAAATTATCTGCGAACTCCGAGATCTTACCTTTGTTGTCGTCGTTTTCTTTGCTCTCAGAAATCCGAGGAAAAATGGTCAGAAAGTTCTTCGTCGGCGGAAACTGGAAATGTGTACGCTTTTTGTTTTCCACATTCTCGTTGATCTCCTTCTATTTGTTTATATTTCGACGCTTGGCCGTTTATTTCATTTTGTCATCAGAAAATTCGTCAGTAATCAAATCTGTTGCTTGTATGGATCTTTCCTTGTTTGATTTGCAAAATACTCGTCCCTTTCGAAACGAGGGAAATTTCTAGACGAATTCCATGTTTCCCGCTTGGTCTTTCAATGTGCTACTTTGATCCTCCCGTTACTTTTCGATTCAAGTGTGCTGATTTTGATATTTAACTGTCTCCGATGAGTTGAGATGTAAAGGAATCTGATTTATAATGGAGGTTAGGGTTACTGATTTGTGTTTAGATTAATGAATATTGTTGTTGATTTGAATAATAATTTTACAGAACGGAACAACCGAGGAGGTGAAGAAAATCGTGACCTCGTTGAATGAAGCTGAGGTTCCTTCGGGAGATGTTGTCGGTACGTTTAGAAATCCCGATCACTGGATGAACTTCGTAATTTTTAAAGTAATAGGGACTCATTATGATGTTTAAACAAATAGAAACGAAACTAAGGTCTATGCTTGTATATCTACTTTGCAGATGTTGTTGTGAGTCCACCTTTCGTGTTTCTTCAGCTGGTGAAGAGTTTGTTGCGGGACGATTTCCATGTTGCAGCTCAGAACTGTTGGGTTCGTAAGGGTGGTGCTTTTACTGGAGAAGTTAGGTAGGATTTAATAGATTATCAAATCTTCTTCCACTGAAAGGCGCCTGGCTTGTTGTATTTACTACCTCTACTCTATTCACTTGTTATGATTTGTTATTTGTCCTAAATTTGAAGTTAATTGCAATAGATATTATCGGATGCTGCTGCTCTCTGACCAAAGTGCTGCTTGCTTTTGCTCCTATATTTGCTTGAAATCCTGGAGTTGAATGCCAGGATATTTTTCTTTCATGCTTTTGGAAGAAGCATGGCATCTGACTGATTGAAGATGATTTATTTTTCTACAGTGCTGAGATGCTTCTGAATTTGGGAATTCCATGGGTGATTATCGGTCATTCTGAAAGAAGACTTATTTTGAACGAGTCCAACGAGGTAACCACTGCATAAATGGAAATTTGACAGCTTATACCGACCTTTTATTTGACACTGCATCATTTGGTCCTGTTTCAAACTCTATTGTCACACATACTTGTGGATGCAGTTTGTTGGAGATAAAGTTGCATATGCCCTTTCTCAAGCCATTAATGTTATTGCTTGTGTTGGAGAGACTCTTGAGCAACGAGAATCAGGATCAACATTGGATGTTGTCTCTGCACAAACTAGAGCAATTGCAGGTATTTTTAAATGCTGAAAGCATAAGTCCCTTTTACCACTTTTGGAACTATGAGCTTTTTATCTTATGTTCTTTTGCATGTCGAGAAACTCTTAATTTTTTTCTCAGTTACCCCTTTTATGTATTTAATTTACTTTTCCTTGGCCTTCAACAAACCTGATTTTGTTTATGCTTACTTATATTTCATATTTTCATTCCCTTCTTGTGCACAATTGATGATCACCGCCCCTTCTGTTACATGGCAGATAAAATCTCCAATTGGGACAATGTTGTTTTGGCTTATGAGCCAGTTTGGGCGATTGGAACAGGGAAAGTTGCAACCCCTGCTCAGGCTCAGGAAGTAAGCTTTTGTTCTTAAACATTTATAAATCTCACTTGGATTCAGGTTAATTAACAATAACTTTGTGGTTTTTCCAAAGGTCCATTCTGAATTGAGGAAATGGTTTCACAAGAATGTTAGTGCTGAAGTTGCTGGATCAATCAGGATTATATATGGAGGTAACCTCTTTGCTTGATCCTATAAAAAAAATATTGCATGGGTTCTGTATTACATTATTTCCTATCTACTTCGTTGAGGTCTGGAAAAAAAACTACTCACAACAGTAAGTGAAACACTCAGAATCCTGTGTGTAAATAATATGATACAATAGGTGGCCTTTTTGGGTTCTGTGATTGGTGCTTGTCGACTTAATCAAACTTGTTACTTAATAATCAGGTTCTGTAAATGGTGCAAACTGCAAAGAGTTGGCAGCACAACCCGACTTGGATGGATTTTTGGTTGGTGGAGCGTCGCTAAAGGTTAACTTCTGAGAACTTTTTTCTTTTCTTTCTTTGGTTTTAAGTTTTTGACTTCTGTTGCTGACTTCGTGCAATGTTTCCTAAAAAACTAGCCTGAGTTCGTGGACATTATCAAGTCTGCTACAGTGAAGAAATCTGCGTGAATTTCTTAATGAGGCCAGAACATCAATGATGGTTCTTCCGTTTTGTTAAACTTATTTGAGGTTTAGAGAAGCCTTGTTTGGCTTCGGGAACTTGAAGCTCCTGTTTGGTAATTGATTTCTTTTCACGCTCTTGAAAATAAGGGATTTTGTTGTGGATGCTGAGAAATCATGGATGATAATCCACAATTTGAAAACAGTTTTTTGATTTAAATACGAACAAGTGTCCAAATCCTCGTTTTTTCCCCTCTCATTTGGTTTATTTTTGTTGTTATATTTTCCACAACTATCTTGCATTTCGACATACTCTTGGCATTTCTTTATTAGTTTAAGTGAGTGGAAATTTGAACCTGAAGATATATGCATAATAAAATGTTTTTGCTTAAATAGCGATTAGATGAAGAAATGAATGAAGCCAATTGATTTAAGGCATATATTTTTAATTAATTAGAAGGTGGAGCAGGGAGGGGTGCAATATCTGATTTTATTTTACCAAAAAAAAATGGTAATTATTTATTTTCATGCATTTTCATGGACGGTTATAGGTTGTCCAAAATCAATGTCCTTTTCCCAAAAAGGAAAAATCAATGTTATCTCTGGATTAGAATATTTTCATGAAATTGTTGTCCACGAAGAACGGTAGAGTTTAGGAAACAAAATTAGCTACACTGTCCTTTTATTTTGTTTTTTTAGGCAATTCCGAAAGTCTCTGTATAAAAATGTTTTTTTTAAATATAGTAGTAAATTTAAAGTTTAGATTTGAAATAATATATATATATGTGTGTGTATATATCACATAAAAAGGAAAAAAAAGTCAAATTTGTGACTTTTTAAAAAATAAAAGTGTTTTGACATTTTTTTAAATATTTTTCATCAAATATATTTTATTAACCACTTCAATTTTAATAGATGATAAATATATTTTGACTTTATTGGTGACCTATCGAATAATGAAGTATTATAATTATAATTATATAGAGAAAAAAATGTGGCTCGTAGAATTTGTTTATATTGAATGACATCCGTCCGATTGAACCATCGTGATCTATGGCATCCGTCCGATAGTGAGTGATGGGCCATGCCTGTGAGTGTGCGATAAAGGCGTTACGGTCATTATCGTAAAAGTCGTGGTTTTTGTGATTCGTGAAGCGCCCGCGGGTTTTTCTACGGACCGCTCTTTCTCCAGACTCCACTTATAAATTATCTGTGAATCTGCGCTCCTGTTTTTCGCTGTGATCGTATTCTCTGCTTCTAGGATTCTCAGGAAAAGAAAGAAAAAATGGCCAGGAAATTCTTCGTCGGAGGCAACTGGAAATGCGTATGCTTCTTATTTTCTTTCCTCTTGTTCGTTCTATTCTATCTATTTTGCCTCTATTTTTTCGATGTTCGGCTGTTTGGGTCATATGTTTTTGGGTTTTGAACTGAGGAACTTCTTCGTTGGGTTTTGAACTGAGAAAACACACATTTCTTCGTTGGGTTTTCGATGTTTTACCTTAGTAGATCCTGTGACTTTTCCGATCCGACTGTGCTGTATATAATTGATGAGTTTAAGTGTTGAGAAAGAATATCTAACTTCGGAATTGGAGGTCTGGAGTACTAGATTGTGCGTGATTGGACTAATCATCTTGTTTTGTTGATTGAATGAAAATTTTGTAGAATGGAACAACCGAGGAGGTGAAGAAAATTGTCAGCATGTTGAATGAAGCTGAAGTTCCTTCAGAAGATGTTGTGGGTATGTATGGAAATCTCGTTAGGTTTTCAGTTGTATGAGTGTCTTGTAACTTATAATATGGCTACGAAGTTCGTCCAGTGATTGATAGTCTGTACATGTTTTACTCCTGTGCAGAAGTTGTTTTGAGTCCACCTTTCGTGTTTCTTCCGCTGGTGAAGAGTTTGTTGAGGTCTGATTTTCAAGCTGCAGCGCAGAACTGTTGGGTTCGCAAAGGTGGTGCTTTTACTGGAGAAGTTAGGTATGATTTTAGTTAGTGCGTTCTCTGTATTGCACAGGAAGGTGCCTGGTGTGGCTAGTTGATAATGATAGCTGTATTCATTTGTTACAACTTATAGCTTTGTTCTATGTCCATGAAGTTAGCTGTAATAGATACTGATGGATGCAATGCTTTTGTCTTGATTTTTAATCGAAGGCTTGCTTCCAAATCTACAATGCTGAATCTTGTTTATATATATATCAGCACAATTCCTGAATCTAGTTTGAAGTTCGAAGCTGGTCATTTTTCTATCTATTCTTCACATTGATTAATGTTGTATGACTTCAATTTAAACATGTTTTCTAGGCCTTTTTCATTTTTATAGGAAGGACTAGTTCTCTTAACTTTTAAGAATTGAGGGTGCATCATGCCACTAATTTGAAGTTGATGTCTTTCCCCTGTAGTGCTGAGATGCTTGTCAATTTGGGAATTCCCTGGGTTATTATTGGGCATTCTGAAAGAAGACTTCTTTTGAACGAGTCCAATGAGGTAACCCCTGCTAGAATGGAAATTAATGACCACTGACCACAACCCTATCTTTACTAATTCAAAGTAAAAGATTAATGCACTATTAGCAAATATCACTAATCCAAAGTCCATTCCCCCATCCTTTTGAATACAGTTTATAGGAGATAAAGTTGCATATGCACTTTCTCAAGGCATTAAAGTCATTGCTTGTGTTGGAGAGACTCTCGAGCAGCGGGAATCAGGATCAACATTGGATGTTGTTTCAGCACAAACTAAAGCAATTGCAGGTACTTCCATAGCTCTGAAATTGAAAATGAAATTTTAAACTTTCAGGAATGCTGAGCTTTTGATCTATGTTCTGTTGAGTGCTGAGTAGCTTTTAGTACTATCTTATCAGTTCTAGTGGTATGTTTAATTCACTTTTCCCTGGCGTTCCATTATTCTTATTCAAAATGGATGACCCTGTCTGTCACGTTGCAGATAAAATCTCTAATTGGGACAATGTTGTTTTGGCTTATGAGCCAGTTTGGGCAATCGGAACAGGGAAAGTTGCAACCCCTGCTCAGGCTCAGGAAGTAAGCTTTGTTCTTAAACATTTTCAAACTTCACTTGGATTCAGGTTAATTAACAATAACATTGTGGTCTTTTTCAAAGGTCCATTCTGAATTGAGGAAATGGTTTCACAAAAATGTTAGTGCTGAAGTTGCGGAAAAAATCAGAATTATATATGGAGGTAATCTCTTTGCTCCTATCAAAAAGATTGATATGGATGCTGTATTACATTCTTTCCTATCTACTTCTTTGAGGTCTGGAAAACTACTCACAAGGGTAAGTGAAAAATTCAGAATCCTAGCCAAAAAGCCATTGGAGGTGAATTTCTTTAAAGGAAAGGACCAAATAAAACCTGAACTGATTCATATATATGAGCTGTGTGAAAATCCAAGGACCAAATAAAACCTTAACTGCTTCTTTTCTACCTACTTCGTTGAGGTGGTGAAAACTATAAATTCAAGCTACCGACAAGGAAGGCCTTTCCAGTAAATTTATGTGTAGTGTGTTTGAAATTTAGCTTTAACCCTCAGAAGCATAATAGCCAAGAGCCATCAGAGGGAGTAATATTTTTAGGAGACTACCCAATGGGAACCTTAATTTGATTAATATATATGAAATGTGTGTACTTGTATTATGTATGATGCAAATAGGCTTGTTTTTCCAGGTTATGTATCTGTGGAACCAATTTGTTTACGGTATTAACTGGTCTTTTAGGTTCTGTAAATGGTGCAAACTGCAAAGAATTGGCAGGACAACCTGATCTGGATGGATTTTTGGTCGGTGGAGCTTCTCTCAAGGTTGACTCTGCTGATAACCCAACATTTATTTTCACTTGTTTGGTCTAGTGTTCTTCACTCGACTTCGGTTGCTGACTCGTCTTTATTTTTCCTTGAACTAGCCTGAGTTTGTTGACATTATCAAGTCTGCCACAGTGAAGAAATCTGCATGAATGGCTGGACGAGGCATCGATGACCAATGAGGTACCCGGGACATATGGAAATCCTTGTTCTCTTGAGCAATAATGTTTGAGACCCAGTTCTGTATTGTATTCTCTCCTTTGTGATGCATTTTGACATAAATTTGGCACTGTTGAGGTCCATACTATGTTTAAGTTTGGACTGCGATCATCTCAATTCTGACTCAGATTGATGGGTGGGCTTTCAGATTTTCAAATTGCTGCTTCAGAATTCAAAGACTTGAGTTATAAATACACCTTGGTACTACAATGATTTTATTCATTTTTATTTCGGTGCACAATTTCTCTACCTTTTATTTTCTGTTTAATTTTGTTTTGAATATTTCGCTAATTAAAATTAATCCTCCTTTCATGTTTGAATATTTTGATTCTTTTAACTAACAACTTTTATTTTTAATATAAAATTCGGGTATTGTCAGTTCGATTTTCAAATTTTGGAACACAAGTTGTGTTGCATTTTAAAATTTTCACTGGTTGCTTGGATGATGGAAATTAGAACTGAAAATTATTGTAAATTTATAATATCAAATGATATACTTTGTTTATTTTTTATATTTTAATTTCAATTTGAAGATAACTTTGTTACTGGAATACTAACTTTACTTTCCATTTCAATATTAGAAGGCTTGACTAATATCTAATTACGAAAACATTTTTTTTTCTTTGACAATTAATTACGAAAATATTCTATTACTGTGAGATGACAATTAATTAAAAGAATCGTGACAATAAGTAGAGTATCATTATTATTATCTTATGATATACGTCATTTCCAAAGTTAGAAAAAGAATATTCAGCTGTCTATTGAGTCGTTGATGTCACTTTCCTTACTCGATAATCATACGATAATAAACTATTAATTTTTATAAACTATCTAGTAATTAAAATAACCTAGATATCATTCATTTCAATCAAATCATGACGCTGCACAAAATAATTGAAGCCCTAAGAAAATGTACTGCAAAAATAATTGTAATTTGAAAGGCGGTCAAGTCAACAGATCCGCCACCGCCGTTTGACCTTTGCCATAGCGCAGCTTCTTCTTACTTCGGCGGCTCACTCGCCGGCGACCGGGCTTTTGAGCCGCCGACGAGGAGCGGTCCCCCTTAAATTCTTTATTCCTCTCCTCTGATCTACGGAAATGGTGGTTTTCGGCCACTTGACTGGGACGCACGTGTGGCCCATGATTTGAAAATGAGCTCCCGCGATCGAGGCATTCTTGCGAGTCTAATCCAATAAAGAAAAGTCAAAAGTGGAATGCCTATCCATTGCCCAGCCGAGGTTTTGTCGATTTCGCGGGGCCGAGTTGTCGTCGGCAATCTCGTCTTTTCTTCCACTATTGTGATTCTGTGGAGAGGGCCGAAATCGAACGTCTCTGAATCGACGTTGGGAGCCTTCTGTGGGCTTATCCTCTTGGTGTGGAGACAGAAAGAGGGGACCAATATGCCCGCTAATTAATACGAAACTTCCCACGTTCCCGGCCGCCGGGCGGCGTGCAACCCTTCTTCCCACTTGGGTATTTTAGCCAATCGAGTGTGAGAATTTAGCTGAAACTTGTGGGTTTTATTTGTTTCTATTCAGTTAACTCTTCTACTGGTGATTGAGCAAACAAAACAACTCTTGAAAAGGAGAACCCTCCAGCTATTTGCACTTTTCTGTTCATAGTGACCGACTATGTGGGTTGCTGATACAATGAAAAGTGGTTAGTTATTTGGGAATATTTGAAGCTTATTTTATTTCTTCTTTGATGTCGGGTTGCGTTGAATCTGCTTGGTTTTACTGATTCTTGCTCTTTTCGGTGGTATCCAGCGTGAAAGCTCTTAAGGTTGGAGTGTATTTTGACTTACTTCTGATGGGCAGTTGCTTAAGTGCCAAACCTATAGCAGGAAGCGCATATAATAATACAGGTATTGAAAGGCTTACTGTCCTTCATTCGTAATGAAACAGTATTGGTGGACGTTTTTTGGCTTTGTGTTTGTCATTTCAAAGTTTTTGAGATTTCTTATTCATGTAACTGAACTTGTGTGCCTTCACCAGGTTAGTTTCATATCCGCAGAAGGAACGTAATACTGTCCTTTATATATGGTTGTTAGTGTAACTCATTGGTGGATATTTCACGATATCTTGTTGAATCCTTTGATATTTGATTATACAATGTGCACGAGTTCTTTCTTTTGTTGAATGTCTGGATTTGGTACCTTCGATTGAACTGAAGTAGTTGCGACCATGATATGCACTTGCACTCATGAGAGTTCCGAGTCAAGTAAATGGCCAGTAGTTCATTGCAAATCAATCATTTGTTTGTGCAGAGGTGAAGAACTCTAAAGCTGACAGCGATAGCAGTAATGGAAAGGATGTTGGTAGTATGACTAGCAAGATCTCATTGGCTTCCGTGCTGCCCGCCCCTCGGAGTGAGGGTGAAATCTCGCAGTCCTCCAATTTGAAGAGCTTCTCTTTTGCAGAGCTCAGTGAGGCAACCAGGAACTTCTGCCCTGATAGCGTGCTAGGAGAAGGCGGTTCTGGTTCAGTTTTCAAGGGTTGGATTGATGAGCATTCATTTACTGCTACCAAGCCTGGAACTGGAATGGGCATTGCAGTCAAAAGGCTCAACCAAGATAGTTTTCAAGGTCAGGGAGAATGGTTGGTAAGTTATCTCTTTGAGATAAAGCGTAGAGATGGCTCATTGTCGTACCTGATTTCTTTAGTATTAGATAGGTGATCTTAATATAACTATCTGCTACGATAGAACCTGCCCATTACCATGACTTATTTGTTGAACCAATTTGTCATTTATATGCTGCACAGATCCACTTATTTCATGCCTTCTTTTATCAATTAGGCTGAAGTGAGTTTTCTGAGCCTACTTGTTCATTCTCACCTTGTAAAATTGATTGGCTATTGTGTGGAGGATGAACAACGGCTACTCGTGTGTGAATTCATGCCTCGAGGAAGCTTGGAAAATCATCTTTTCTTACGTGAGTTTTCCTATCCTTCGAGCAACACAATAAGAACAACATTCTTAGTAATTTGTGATTGAAACTTAAGTTGTCATTGAAGGGGGTTCCTATTTTCAACCTCTTTCTTGGAGCCTCCGCTTGAAGGTTGCACTTGGTGCTGCAAAAGGGCTCGCCTTTCTCCACAGTGATGAAAGAAAAGTGGTCTACCGTGACCTGAGGACGTCTAATATCTTGCTTGATTCTGTAAGTCACTGTTGAATACAAGACTTTCTTGGGTCTATGACAAAAATGGCATCACCAGAATTGGGATCTTGCTCCTTCCTTTTTTTTTTGTTTACCCGTTTGAAAGATAACCGCTGTGAACTTCATTTTCTTATGTTTTCAGGACTACAATGCCAAACTTTCTGATCTTGGGTTTGCCAAAGACACAGGAGCAACAGGCAGTAGCAATGTCTCTACCAGGGCTATTGGTACCTCATATGCAGCTCCAGAATATTTTGCCACAGGTAATATTCAACATAACCAGAAAACATTACCGTCGGATTTTTCACATCCACCATGGTGTCATCAACTCTTGACTCGTTCCTATCATGGATCCTTGACTCTGCTTTCTTTTTCCTGATGAATAACATTTTTGTATTATGACTAATCTGAGAGATTCAAAGCAACGTTATAACATCTTACATTAATCACTTTGTGCTTTCACTCACTGTAGGTCATGTAACTACTTTGGCTGATGTCTATAGTTTTGGAGTTGTTTTACTGGAAATGTTGTCTGGGAGGAGAGCAATTGACAAGAATCGGCCATTCAGAGAACAAAATCTTATTGAATGGGCAAGACCTAACCTGGCAAACAAACGTAAGATCAATCGAATAATTGACGATCGTCTTGAAGGCCAATATTCATTGGATGGAGCCTATAAAGTATCTACTCTGACACTGCAATGCCTGTCCATTGATCCAAAGTCTAGGCCGAGCATGAACGAGGTTGTAACAGAACTAGAGCAGCTACAAGATTCTACATCCATTAATAGCAATAGAAATTCAATACAAAACTGCAGGCCTCGTAGGCATAGTGCTGATGATGCCAATAGTATTCGTAGTACTCACGCCCATCCATGGCGTCCTGTTTCCCCTGTTTATACTTAATCAGATGCAGGTGATGGTTTCACAACAGATCTTAGGTATCTGGCAGATACATATTATAGTTGATTGATTATAAACTTCTCATGCTAATAGTATCTGTTAAGCTTGGCAATTTCTTGGTCAGTTTGTAAACACAGAATGAATTGTTCACTATAAATTCTCGTTTGATTATCAAAGATTAGATTAGATGACTAAGTTTATCTATCTAAACCCTTTCATGTGCTGCTTTGTTGTGATATGTTGGTGTCTTTTGAAGGTAAGAGAACGAAATAATGAGCTACACTGAAATTGCTCGAAACGGGTTCGGTTTGGCATGGACAGATGCTTGGTTCTAAACCTTCTCAAAATGAAGCGACTCTTGTGTTTGTAGTTTACAGTATCCTAACACGCAACAGTGAGAGATATTAGTATAATTTGTATTGGTATGTCATATATGTTACTTGGAAATGATAGTCTTGAGAATAAAATGTTCATATTTGGATCTCCCATGAATGAGACTGAAATTTAATTGTACTACGTACATCTCATTTCAAGTTCTGGAAGAAGATTAAAAGAAATATTTACATTTGCAAATAAGTGCTGATATTGGCAGTTCGCAAATCTCGATTGAAGAGAAGAGTGCCATATTCGCCTGCTTTTCGGCCATACTTGGGCAATAAATCGATAAACCCATCTCAGTTTCTCTCTTCTTTTCACCATTTCTCGAGCCAAGCATGCGAACGGGAACATTTCTCTCTGGGTATAGGCTCGTTCAAGCATTTCGTCGAACAGTTTCTAGCACCTCTTCTACGCTCAATACAGTCCCCGTCCGATTTAGCTTTCTCTGCACTCAAACACCCGATAACTTATCGGCGAATGTATTAGAGTCGGAATTGGAGGGGCCCAGGTGCTTATCTTTGAGAATTGAGAAAATACCAAAGGGAGAATCGATTGGGTATGCCTTCAGGAGCTGGATGGGCGACGGCTTTCCTGTTCATCGAGGCGACATATTCCACGCCATCAATCGCCTCAGGAAGCTCGAGAGGAACAAGCGCGCACTCGAGGTTGCTATCTCCATCTCCCTCTTTAACTTTCTCTTTTCGTTTCCAGTTTTCTTAGATGTCATGAATTCTAATCTGCATCACTGTAGAGTTTGCTGTAGCGATTAGTTTTTTCCTTTGTCTTTAAGTATGTAAGCGAGAGCAGAACATAGAAAAATAGCTACTCAAGTATTTGCTTGAATCATTAAGAAGCTGAAAGTTGCAGAGATGGTGAATTTTGATGCAATATCTTCTCCGTAACTCTCGTCTATATCTCTACCTTTTTGTAAATTGTGAAAGTCGAGCAGAAGTAAAGGCTATAACGATGTGAAACTGAAGAATGGTTTTTCTTGATTAACGTTTTTCTGGTGTAATATCATGTGCCTTTGGTCCATTCTCTTCGTTTATGTTCATAAGTCACTGATTTAGCCATACCAAGCTTTCTCCATAATCTACAAAGTGATCAAGAATTGCCAATGTCACTTAAGAATTGCATTCAACTTCCACATTAGAACTTGCTAGAAGTACATATCAGGCCCCTTTTGTAAATTGGGTATAATTTCAAGAAAAAGCACAGGCAAAGAGATGTATAATTGAGATTGTCTTCTGCTCTTGGCAGGTTATGGAGTGGGTGATAAGGGAGAAACCGTACCGGATAAACGAATTGGACTACTCCTATCTGCTGGAATTTACGATCAAACACCATGGCATAGCACAAGGTGAGAAGCTCTTCTCTAACGTTCCTCTGGAATTTCAAGGAGAGTTGCTCTTCAACAATCTTGTGATTGCATGTTTAGATAAGGGAGCAATTAGGCTTTCACTAGCTTACATGAGAAAAATGAGGGAAGTTGGCCATCGCATCTCACACTTAGTTTTTAATCGCCTCATTATTCTCCACTCGTCTTCCCGACGTAGGAAAATTATCCCGAAAATTCTCACTCAAATGAAGGCTGATAAAGTGTCCTTGCATGTTTCTACATATAACATTCTTATGAAAATAGAAGCCAATGAGCACAACATTGAAGGGTTGATGAAGGTATTCAGCGATATGAAACGAACTAAGGTTGAACCGAATGAGGTGTCTTATTGCATAGTAGCTACTGCACATGCTGTGGCAAAGTTGTATACAGTAGTTGAGACCTATGCTGAGGCTATAGAAAATTCTATTACTGGGAGTAATTGGTCGACATACGACGTCCTAATCATCTTGTACGGGTATTTGAAGAAGGATAAAGAGCTAGAGAGGACTTGGGGTATCATACAAGAATTACCCCACATCCGGTCTAAAAGTTTTATACTTGCAATCGAAGCATTTGGTAGAATTGGTTTACTAAGCCGTGCCGAAGAGCTCTGGTCAGAAATGAAAACTATGGGAGGACTTAAAGCCACTGATCAATTCAATTCCATTATATCTGTTTATTGCAAACATGGGTTGATTAAGAAGGCAACAGAAGTCTTTAGGGAAATCGAAGCGAATGGGTGCAAACCAAATGCCATAACCTTTCGAAATCTGGCTTTAGGTTGCCTGAAAGCTGGTTTGGTGGAGGAAGCCATGAAAACACTAGAGCTGGGATCACATATTACAACCAGCAGCAAGACAGTTAGAAAGTCAAATCCATGGTTGGAGACCACTCTTTCAATGATCGAGATTTTGGCAGAGAGGGGAGATGTTGAAAATGCTGAAAAGTTATTCGAAGAACTCAAGGAAGCAAAGTACACGAGGTACACATTTGTATACAACACTTTGATCAAGGCCTACGTGAAGGCCAAGATTCATAATCCAAGTCTGTTGAGGAGGATGATCATAGGAGGAGCCAGGCCTGATTCAGAAACATACAGTTTGATCAAACTTTCTGAGCAGTTTCAAAGTTAAAAAAAAAAAAAAAAAAGTTTGAACAGTTGATGCAGTTTTCAACGGTCTTGTCTTTGATCAACAAGCCAATGCCATGGAACAATCCTTATTTCCTCTCTGATAGCTTCTGATTGCTCTGTGAGGCGTGCAAGCTACGGGTACCTCGTGGCCACTTGGCTGACATGGATGCTCAGAGGGAAGTAAAAAGTAAGTTGCCACTGACTCTGCTTGAATGAGGGGTAAAAAAAAAAAGATGAAACAAAATTTTGAGTATTAATTATCTTTATGTGTCCATGTGGGGAGTGTTTGGTTTCTGGATTCTTTCCCTCTGTCCTCTTCTGTTGTCATCTTCAACTCATCACATTGGGTCATCACATTTAAGCTTCATAAAACCACTAGACCCCAAAATAAAGTACAAGATGAAGTATTTACTAACAGTCACAAGAAGGAAAAGGTAGAATGAAGATTTTCAGAGAGATTTTTATTTAGCTTTTTTGCTGTCTTTACTTCTGAAGGAAATGTGTGATTTTTGAGTGTAGGACATGACAGGAGAGAGATTGGATGAACATATCCCAATTTCAGGTCCCTTCTCGTGACTGTATTTACAAAAGATAGAAGAAGAAAGAAGGAGAAGAAGAAGAAAGGCAGCAAATTGAAGACATGTTGGGCCCTTCTCGTCACATTATCTGCTCAATTTGCATGAAGAAAGAGACAATTATTTGATAAGAACATTATAACTTATAGAGGACGTTCGTTGGATTGGCTTATCAACTGAAACTGGACTTAGAAAAGAAAATCATTCAAATGAATGTTGATGAGAAAAATGAGAAATATCTAGCCGTTAGATCTTTTTTTTTCTCGATAATATCGAACCTTGGACCTTAAGAAAGATAGTCAAATGATTTGTCTATTAAACTAGGCTCGAATGTGTTAGAATTTAAATAGATTTATTTTTTAAATAAATGAATCAAAAGGATGTTTAAAGTAGTTTACTTTTTAGATGGATATGTTTTCTTTCACATATGGGGAGTTCATAAAAAAAAGGGTATGGGTGAACACAAAGTGACAAAGCATAGTTTTAAAAAAATGCTAGCCATTTGTTTAAAAAGTATTCATATCCTTCCCTTACGGTTACTTGATAACGTTTCAAAACTACCTTTTAAAATTGACATGTTAGAATTTATAATGACATGTAACTACAAATGTTTCAACCACATCACTTGATGTACCAAATGTTCTCGTGTTCGACGTCATCCATGCTCGAAGAGATCATGACCAAGAAATCTGGTTGGAGGAGAATCCTCTTGGGGTGTTGACTTTATCTACAAGTTTAGATTGTTCTCTTTAATTGTATGTTCTCTACTCCCTTTTATTTTTTTTTAAAGACATGGTTTTCCTCGATTTAGACTTAATTTTATCGAAAAGTTTTTTTCTCAATTGTCAATAGAATTTACTTTTTTATTATTTATCCAATTTTGTCATAATTCTTCTCCTACACTTCTCTTTCCGGACTTGATCTACATAAGCTTACACTTTAATTATCGCATGGTCTTTGAAATGTTAAAAATAGTATTGAAACTTTTGAAAAAAAAGGTCCCCTCGAGAAACAACTTTCAATTTTATAACGATTTAGCAACAAAAATTTAATAAATAAGTAACAAGTCACGTCGTAATCAGTATCTGGTCCTCATAAACTAAATACCACATATTCAATTAAAACTCGTTCACAGGTTAGATACCAGTTTATCTCAAATACAAAGATTAGTCCAAAAGAGGAAACAAATCCACAAGATTAGTTTAATCCAAAGTTGGCCAGGCATTGGCACGCACCACAGTCCACAGACACGAATCAACTGCCCAAAAAAAAAAAACCATTTTTCCCATTGGATTATCCAGCGAGGTCACTCTAATCTTTGAATTCAGAAGTTTTTTGGAGTATTGGGATTTGGGGGCAACTTGGACAAGTGTTAGAAGGAGGAGAGATTCCCAAATTTCGCTTAGAAACCCATCCATCGCTGATGGGTCACGAGGATGAATCGTGGTTTAGGTGGAAAGGGGGGCGAGAGGCTTTTATTGAATCAGATTTTTGAATTGTCAAGTTGTCAAAAGTTTCCATCGCAGGAAACAAACAGAGACTACGCTAGAGTTTTCCATCTAAAAGCGGGACCAATCCGCCATTAATGTTGAACTCTCGACCACTCTTCTTCCTTCCCCTCTCTATTTTGCGGGAAAGTTTCTGCTGAACTCCTCTGGGGAAGAAAACAGCACATATAACGAGAACCCAACGCTTGCTTTCTACGTTTCTGGCCTCCCTTCTTCCTATATTTTGTTTTGATTGCTGAGACAAGAAAAGGATGTGAGTTTCATCATTTTTGGTTCATTTCTGTATATGGGTTTGGCGTCTTGTATCCTGTATCATCGTGTTTTGCTTAAGATTTGAAGTTTGGAAAAGAAGTCGTCAACCATAAATGTTGGTGTTTCTTTATTCTGATGGGTCTTCTTATTCTTCTTCTACAGCGCTAAAGCTCTGAAGGTTGGGGACTCTCTTGGCTTCTTCTAATGGGTGCCTGCTTAAGTACCAGAGTCAAAGCTGAAAGCTCATGTAATACAGGTACTGCAAGGCTTTCTTTACTTAACTAATGAAACAATTTGTTGGAAGGAAGTAATTTGGATTTCTCGTTGTCTGGCTGAGGTTTGTAGAATTCCAAATTTATTTAGTGAGGCGTCTGCAATCTTGCCAAGCTAACTTACACGTCTGCAAAAGAGATGAAATCAAATGATGAGCTTAGTTAACATTGTGAAAATGATCATATGATATGCAAGTGAATTCCTGCTTTTATTGAATTTCCAGACTTCAACACCTTTGCTTAAACTGAAAGTATTTGGGACTGAGCTTTGTAAATGCACACACAACGGTCTCGATTCGATTAAACAATGGCTAGTTTGTTAGAGGTCGTGCATTTCTTTGTGCAGGGGCGAACTCTAATGCTGTGAGCACTGATGGGAACGATATCGGTATGCCACCAACTCCGCGAACTGAAGGCGAAATCTTGCAGTCCCCCAATTTAAAGAGCTTCAGCTTCGCAGAGCTTAAAGCAGCCACCAGGAACTTCCGTCCCGATAGCGTGCTAGGAGAAGGTGGTTTTGGTTCAGTCTTCAAGGGCTGGATTGATGAGCATTCCTTTGCTGCAGCCAAGCCCGGCACCGGAATGGTTATTGCAGTCAAAAGGCTTAACCAGGATGGATTTCAAGGCCACAGAGAGTGGTTGGTGAGTTAGCTCTCCAAAATCAAGCGCAGAGATGGCTTATTCTTATAATTGATGTGTACTTTTCAATATTAGCTTCCTTTAGCATATGATGGATGCTGATAATATAACTATCTGTTGGTCAGTCTAGGCTCTACAGATCCATTTATTTCGTGGTTTCTTTCATCTTATAGGCTGAAGTAAATTTTCTAGGCCAACTTTCTCATTGTCACCTCGTGAGATTGGTTGGCTATTGCTTGGAGGATGAGCACCGATTGCTCGTGTATGAATTCATGCCTCGAGGGAGCTTGGAAAATCATTTGTTTCGAAGTGAGTTTCTCCTATCAGCTACTGTTAAAATATTCGACTTAAGGAGAAGAACTTCGTTAACTTTTTGTGATTGAGATTTCGGTTGCATAATGTTTCAGGGGGATCCTATTTTCAACCTCTTTCGTGGAGCCTGCGCTTGAAGGTTGCACTTGGCGCTGCAAAAGGGCTTGCCTTTCTCCACAGCGACGAAATAAAAGTGATCTACCGCGACTTCAAGACTTCGAACATCCTACTTGATTCAGTAAGTAATTGGCGAACCATATCATAAGCATATTGGCAAGTAGTTTCTGCTTTCTTGTTTTGAAGATGGCCTAAAACTTCATTTTCTTATGCATTTAGAAATACAATGGCAAACTCTCTGATTTTGGGTTGGCCAAAGATGGGCCAACGGGTGATAAAAGCCACGTCTCTACTCGGGTGATGGGGACGTACGGATACGCAGCCCCGGAGTATCTGGCTACAGGTAATATTCAACAGAAACAAACTCCTGCTGTCACATTGTCGACATTAGTTTCAACTTGATATTGCATCATTTCGTGATAAAGAACAAATTTTGAATGGCTAAGATTGATAATCATTTGGCTTTCTCACTCACTCTAGGTCATCTAACCACTTGGAGTGATGTCTATAGCTTCGGAGTTGTTCTACTAGAAATATTATCGGGAAGGAGAGCAATCGACAAGAATCGACCCTCTAGAGAACACAACCTTGTGGAATGGGCAAAACCGTACCTTGCAAACAAACGTAAGATTTTTCGAGTAATCGACAGTCGTCTTGAGGGCCAATATTCATTGGATGGAGCCTACAAGGCATCCACCCTTGCGCTACAATGCCTTTCCATCCAACCCAAACTCAGACCCAACATGAATGATGTTGTTAAAGAACTAGAGCAACTACAAGATTCCAGGTACCCGACAAGCAACAGGAATTCAGTCAATAATCGCCGTGCTCGTAGGCATAGCACCGATGATGCCCGTAAGCCAGATAATGCTCAAGCTTATCCCCGGCCTTCTGTCTCGGTTCTCTACGCATAAGATGGTGGTCAGGCAACTACAAGAAGACTGAGGAACTTAGCTGATGCAATTCAATGTTCAGCAACTGTACAGTTTTGATCCTGTCATCCTTCTGTGGTGATTCTCGGATCGGTTCGGTTCAAGTTATTTGATTTCTGGTGGGTGCTACTGAATCCGAATAGCTAAGTAAAGTTCGATCTCGTCGTTGCTGCTGAAGTTGAGATGAGGAGCTATGCACCAAGATTTACTTGCTGCTTGAGTTTGTATTCTGTAAAGAATTTGTCTGATTTTTGTGTGGGGGAAAAATGAAGAAACTGAGAATAGAGGGAAGCTAGAATCTTTTAGATGATTGATGAGCAATAAAAGAATGTATCTGCTTTCAAATTCGTTCATATATTTTGCTAAAGTTATTGCAGTTTTGAGCTTGAATTGGCAAATAAGTAATGTTCCTAAAGTTCCTCTTTTGCCCATTTTCTATTAACAAGTGCCAAAGATGGTAACTGTTTATTTTACCATTCTTCACTTAATAATAAATATTTAGAAAATAAATAAATTGTAAAATTTTTAAATATTGAAAAATTGAAAAATCAATTCTTATATAAAATTTGTGTTTTTTTTTTAAAACTTAAAATGGTAGGAACAAGAAAGGATTAGAATAGATTTATGTTTCTTTTTTCAATAATATCAAACGTAGTTACATTTTTCTTTAGTTTATAAATAACAAACTTGAAATTAAAAATTAAAAAATATCAAATAAGACCTTATTTTCTAATCTTATTTCAAATTAATCGTTATAATTTTTGGATGATAAGAAGAGAAAAATAGTTGAATGGGACTTTATCTTATTTTGGAGTGCATATAAAATATAAATATAATATTTATTAGATTTTTTATAACCACTTTTTTTGTGCCACCAAAAATAATTTGATAAGTTGTTTTTTTTTTGTCATTTCTTATCGATAGGGAAGTTTCAACAATTGCAATAGATGTTATTTTAATGGCCCAAATTTGTAAGATATTTAAAAGAATGGAAGCAAAGCACGTGGCCTTAATTCATGGGGTCTCTTCACTAAGTTTCTTTTCAATGGATTCAATGGGATCTTCTCCAATTTCAAATGGGTGGACGTAAATTACGTTAAATTTTGAAATTAATTATTAAATATATTATATTGATGTGACATCAAATTATAGAATGTGTTGGCAAATATTTTAGATTAAAGGAGCATGCTTTTCCAAAATAAGTGATATAACATATACTTCAAATGTCACATCTCTCACAATAATAGTTACATATCTATTATTTTACTCTTTTGGTAATTAAATGGACAAAATAATAATTTTAAATTATAAAAATTAAGTTAATCTAATCAATACTCATGGTTGCATTTTATATTAATCTTTTTTCCTAGAATATCTATTTTACCATGTCAACGATCTTCATTTGAATGAAGAAAAAATTTCCTTTTCGATCAACTTTGTCTGGTCAGTGTCTAGAAGATTCAACCCATTTCCAAGACCCCATAATTGAATAAACGATGACCTACAAAGAATTCAGGATCTATTACCAATTCCTCCTTCTAATATTTGGTAATTGGAATGATTTCTTTTCTCCTCTCTTTTTCCTGTTTCAGTTTTTCGGGTCATCTATTTGAAGAAGTGAAAAAGGAAAACTCCCCGATAAAAACTACCGATCCAAATGGGTAAAGGTAATTCGTTTTCTTAGTTCAACAATTGTAGGAGAGAAGACCGAACCTTCGATTTCGAAAAATGTAACTAGTGTCTTATCCATTAAGCAGTGAAGGCGAAATTTTTGAATCAACGAACTCAAATCTACTATTTCCTTTGATTTTTACAGGTATACCAAAACCAGTGAAAATGGAGGGAAAAGAATAAGCATGGCTTGTCACCAAGTTCTCACCAACCCAGGAGTCCAATTTCTCCAATCTAACTTACCAAAAGATTTGTTTCTCAAGTTTACTATATCTCTGAAATCAAAAACCTTCTTCAGATGACTATTTCTGTGCCGGGTAGTGGTCTCAACGTCGGTATCCTCGAGAGTTTCCTCCTTCGTTTCGTCAGTTTCGCCGATGGGTTGAGGAATTGTTTCATCTTGACATGATTCAGTGATGATGTTTCCAAGAATCTCAACAACCTCACTCATTTTAGGGCGATTCTTAGGCTGCCTCATCAGGCATCTGTTGGCCAGTGATGCAAGTTTCTGTGCTGACTTGATGTCACATTCTCCTTCAAGCCGTGGGTCGATAATGAGGTGGAATTTCTTAGGGCCAGAGACATATGGTTTAACCCATTCCAAAAGCTTCTGTTCGTTGCGCGGTAGGTTCCTCTCCACGGCTCGTCGACCTGTAATGAGTTCATAGAGAACCACCCCGAAGCTCCACACATCGCTCTTTGCAGTCAGCCTTCCAGTCTGAACATACTCTGGAGCTGCATAGCCTATTGTACCCACAACCTTGAAACACACAAATAAATTGTCATCAGAAGGACACATCTTCTGTATTTGAGAATTACAACAGAACATCGCTTCAGATGTAACAGCATAAAAGCAATAAATGTAACATATGCCTATTTAGAAGCTAAAATCCAAGTGTGTGGCAAGAAAATGATTTGTTGATCCTGCATACTAGAAGGATAACTTTTGAAGTTAAACATATTAAAAAAGAAAGCAGTAATTAAGTACTTTATCAGGAAGTAGTTTACAGTGTTTTTAATTTGGAAAAATGATCTTACTTAACAAAAAGCAACTATCAACGTACATTACATCACAAGTTCAGTTGTATTTTTTAGTATTTCCAACAAGATAAAACTTACTGATGTTGACACATGACTGATTCCTTCGGGAGGACCCTGCCTGGCCAGTCCAAAATCTGAAAGCTTTGCATTAAATTCTTCATCTATCAGGATATTTGATGCTTTTAAGTCGCGGAAAATTAGCTGCATCGTACAAAAGCAGATCCAACACACTTAAATACGAAAGGCAGAAGCAACTATCAAACACATGCTGACCACAAGACAGAAATTCTGTGTTTTACTTCACATGGTAAGACGAGATAATTAACATCTGAGAAACATCAAGATTCAAGGATGGCAACAGTAGATTTTAACTACCCAGAATCTCATTAATTTATACCTGAAAATCCATTTCTTCATGTAAATATGCAAGACCTCGAGCTGCATCCTGAGCAATTTTAAGCCTTGCCAACCATGACAATGGTGAAGAAACTCGAACCAGATGGTCCTCCAGGCTTCTGTTGCGCATGAGCTCATAAACCAGAAGCCTTTGCATGCCCCTTTCATCATCCTCTGCACAGTATCCGACTAATTTTACAAGATTCGGATGCTTCACCACACCCAGAAAGTTCACCTCGTTGATCCACTCCTTGTGCCCCTGAATACTAGAATTTGTTTGAAAATTCGATGAGATTCGAATTTTAAAGCACTGGTAAAAGCTTGAACAGTTAATCTGCTCGATTCATTTTTACTCATTTCCAAATAAAGTAGAAGATCCCCTATCAGTCGTTTCCCAACTTGGGGGTTTTGGATGATTTAATTGGAAAAATTATACAGGATTGTCCCAGTGACTGGACATCAGGACAAATTAATTAAAACAAAACCTGAGTGATATTCTTATGATTTTGTTTCTACCATTCAATCCAAAGTCATGTAAGACAGTAGCAAAGGAACGAATTCGAATATTGCCTTTCAAGACTATAAGATTCAGGGGATGCATTTCAGGTTTAAGCTACTAAAACCAGAGAAGCTGAAGTTGTAAATTCCGATCATTCAACAATCTTAATGAACACACTAAGAAGTAAGAAGAAGAAGAAGACCATGCCTGGAAGCCGTTGCGATTAAGCTGTTTGATAGCAACCTCCATCTTCAAATCAGACACAGAGCCACCATTCTCATCATCTCCAGAAGCCCTAACAAGTCCTTTGAAAACACAACCAAATCCCCCCTCGCCAATCAACAGCGCCCTGCTAAACCCTCGAGTGGCCGATCTCAACTCGGAGAAAGAAAAAACCCGCAGATCGTTAGCCCTCCGCTGAGTCAAAAACTCATAGAACCCAATCGAGTCGGAAACATCCCTGGAATAGTCGGAGTCGAACTCAGAGCGCCTCGTATCGAAGGTGCTCGAAGCCATACTCAGGGAGCGCGCCCAGGAGACCTTCGAAGCTCTAGAAACGACGCCGTCTTCGTCGTCCCTTCTCTCGCCATTCGTGAAGTGGAAGCACTTCATAGCTTCAGAACCCAATCGAAAATCAAGCCCAGAATGGCGAAAGAGAAAAAAGGGGGCCCGAGAAAGAAGAAAAACGAAGACGATTAAGTCAATGGAAAGAAGAATCAACGAACTGGTATTGGTTAACATTTACATATTATATGTTGAAAAATGGAAGAGCGTTAGGTAATAAAGCAGAGAGAAAGTCCGCTTCCGCCATTGTCGTTTAGAGAGAGAAAGAGAAAGAGGAGAGAGAGTCAGAGGATCACGAGGGGTTGCAGACCGAGACGCTGAAGGCCAAAAATGGTTCAGGTAGCTCAGTTGCGAGGGAGGGACCCAGCAGTTAGTTGAGGGCCTTACTTGGGAATTCGAAATTGTTTAGGGCTATAACTGTAATTTGGATTAGGGCCGTACTTGGGAATACGAAATAGTCTAGGGCTATAACTGTAATTTAGTTACTTTGTCTGGAATCGGACTCGAGCGACGGGCAGGCAACCGTGCGACCCGGCCTCTCTTAAAAAGCTCTTCAAAGGCTGCGTGGTTATGTGAGATTCCAATTTTAAATGTTGTTTTTTTGTAGGAGGAATCTGACAAAATTACCGAAATGTCCCTCGACAAATATTATTTGAAAAAATGTTAAATATATGTTTTATTTTTTCAATTGAGTTGTTGTTGTTAGGGTTACTTGTTGTTTAAAAGGTTTCGATTTCTGATTTGGTTTTTTACATTTTAATATATTTTTTAAAACATATATTTTTTTTGACAATTTTAAATTTGGTTGATTTTTAAATTTATATGATCTAATATTTAGTTACTGAATCGAAAAATTTTAGATATAAAAATTAGGTCATCTAAGAAGAATTTTTCCAATTTTTAAGAACTCGTTGAAATTTTTGACTTCTTTTTTTTATGGTCTAATTCCTCCTAAAAAACATTTACTCGAGTATTATTCACCAATAAAAATTGTACAAAAATAAAATTATATACATCTAATCAAGTTCTAAAAATAATGAAAACTTAGTCTTATGTGGCAAGTTGTTTATGATGTCATATTCATATTCATACTTTTTGAATATTCATACTATTATTTTCAACCAGTCATTAAATCTCATTTGTTTGTCAACGTAGGCTTATTGAGGTGGGGTCTTTAAGAGGCATTTTGAATTCAATCTAATTTTTTGAATTACAAATTATAAAACTCAAATTAGTCCAATTAAATAAATAATAGTACTTTTAATATCTTATTACATACTTTTTTGCACATTGAATAAAAGCCCTTCAAACCATATTTAATTTATATTAGTTCAAGAACTAAAATTATTATTTAGCCTTTATAGTATACTACATAAGATATACATTAAAAAAACTACATTGAAAATATATTTTTAGACCATTTGTCATCAAATATGATATTCATATATTGGTTTTATAAAAGCAAACTTTATCGATTAAATTTTGTATCAGCAAAGACTATAGTAGGATAAATATGATACTACAATTCAATAAAATAAATATTTGTGTAATATTGTATTATCATTTTTAGTCATTAAATTAATATTTAAATTAGCGATGAAACTAGACTAAAGAACATAGCTATCTGTATTGATTGAACTATGATTTTTTGATACGATATTTTTGTAAATGAAAGATTGGTATTGGTAGGAGTAAAATCAAAGGTAAACACGAGGTCCTCTTGCCTTAAAATACACGTGTATCCGAGCTGGGACTAGAAGGAACAAACCAAATGTAACTAGCTAGTCCATATTATAGTTGACATAACTCGTCCCAAAATCCCTACTAGTTCTAGAACAAACTGGTTGATCACATACCCCAACTAGCCACAGAACATGTGGTCAAACTTCTTCTTTGTCTAAGCTAAACTTTTACAGATTATCTATTTTTGCACCCTTTTTCTAAACACGCTCTCCAGAGTGTAACTAAACTTTTATAAAACAAACTAAATGCACTGCACCGAATAAGATAGATCATGATCATTGAAGCATGGTTGAGAAAGACTTACAAAAATTGATAGTTAATACCTATATTAATAAGGTACATCTTCTTTTTCTGTAGCTCGATCATAAGAGTTCCAAAGTTAAGTATACTTGATTTACAGCAATCTTGGGTCGAGTGACTCAGGAATGCCAAGACAATTAGGGCCAAGTTCATATTCTAAATCCTAGTCTGAATCCTAGACTTGGAGTATTACAATAGTTCACTTCAAACCACTTGTTACGTGTGACTAAAATCTTTATAAATTTTGATGTGGTACCAATTATAAAATTATTTTTTCATACTCATTATTATAAAAGCAATAAGATTGGAAGAACAATCGATTTAACATTCATAATTAAGGAACATGGAGAGCTAACATAGCTTTCCCTCGATCAGAAGCAACTTCTATTACTACACGAAAACGTAAAAACAGCAAGCAATCAACGTCATCATAAATAATCCAATTATTGTGTCCGATCCGACCACTTTACGGATCATGGGCCTTGTACCTTGTTTCATTTTGGGCCGTTGGTTTATAGTATCTTGGGCCCAATGTATGGGCCGTTTTTAAGAACTCGAAACGTTTCACGTGGCCCAGATTACAGAGTTCCAATTTCCAAGTAAACTCCAAACCAATCTAGTTGGATGCTTTATCCTTTTAACTAAAAGTGAAAAATGTCATACTTTATATCCAAATTCGCAAGCTCAGTAAAAGAGAAAGTTATCAATTTTAAAATTTATGAGTAACAAGATATAAAATTAGAACTGCATTATTTTGTTACCCAATCGAGTAGAATTTTAATGGTAAATGTTGTTAACTTAAAATAGCTCCATAATTCGTGATAAAAGGAAGAAGATTCTTTATTCGAGTTTTCTTGTAACTCTTTTTTTCTCTCCCTTTTTGGAACAATATTTTTTTCATAAAAATATGTTTACATAATTGTTCCCTTTGCTAATACAAAATTTCTTTTAAAATAATGCACCTATTATTAATCTTAAAAGTAAGTTTGTGGTAAGAATTTCAATATGACAAGTGTTGTTTAAGTAGTCATACACTACCATCTTTTTGTGAGGTTGGAAGGTGTAAAACGACCTTTTCACCTGGAAAGAGAAGAGAGGTCTTGAAGGTTCAAGGAGGAGGAACCATGCTTTGAAATCTCACCTAGACCTCAACCTCAACCAAGGTCAAGCTGAGGTGTTAATAAATAAAACCTCTCTCAACCATTCATCCACTACCACATAACTCCTACCTAAATTTTCAGTCTTACTTAGTATTTTGTTAAATCGTAAGTGGGTCCCATCTTTCAATGTTATAAATACATGAATACTCTATATTCAGGTATGTAAATTTGATTGCTCGTATCCAGAACACCTCGAATTCTCATTAACTTGAGCGTCAAATCTCTTTTCCTTCCTTGAAAAAAAAAAAAAGAATCCAAACTCCCTTGATCCTCTCCCCACTTAAATTTTAGGCTTGAACACATGAGTTGAATTGATTCTCCCACATTCACAAAATATGTTACATGCATATATATATATATATATATATATATAATAAATATATTTTTTTTTTTTGTTTGGAAAATTGAAAATTGAGCTGAATTGAAAAGGTGTGGTAGGGAAATAGTAGATTGGGAAAGCGCGAAAGGAAGAGAGGAAAAGTAATTAGATTTGGAGCGTTGCAGACGCTGACGCATTTCACCACCCACTCGTTATGTCTAATCGTAGCATAAGGAAATTTGTTTCTTTTTCTTTTATTATTATTATTTATTTTCGGATTTAATAAATATTTTTCCCAATTTCAGTTTCAGTACTAACTTACTTTCCTTTCTTATTTGTCTTCTTCCGTTTCCTTTTCACACATTTCCTGTCATTTCCGTCTCTCTCGCCCAACCGCTCTCCCCTAACCCATTCGCATTTATCGCCACTTTCCACTTCATTAAAACAGCAACAAAATAAATTAATAATAATAAAGGAATAAAACCAAAATCAAAGTAACCTTCTTGTTTCTTATTTCATGATTTTTGTTTTATTAGATAAAAATAAAACTGCATTTGATAATCTTTTTTTAATTCGTTCCTTTTCTTATTCTAGAAATTTAAACAATAACAATTTCTTATTTTTTTCATTCTATAAAATTTTAAATTAAAAAGTGAATGTTTTATGAGAATGAAAATTATAAATTAAAAGTTCATTTATTTTTTTAATATTTATTATGCGTTTCATAAGTCAAAGAAGGATATAATAGTGTTTTTATTTATGTTTTAATTAAAAAAATAAGAAATAAAAGCAATAAACAAGAAGCTTGATTTTAATGTTTTCAAAATTCATAAATTTTTGAAATGCTTTTAAAAAATGAGAAACGAACAACAAAAATAGTTATCGAATGTTTCTATGTTTCTAAAAAAACTAGAAACGATAACATTATCAAACAGATTCTAAATTTTAAATCGACTAAAATTTTGACACTTTTTTATGTTTTTTTTAACACCAATATAATGCATCATTTTCCTATTCATATATAATGTTAAGAAAATTATCTACCTTTGGTAAAATTTCGAAAGATTTACCAACCATGTAGAATCATTAAAGATTAAACTAAAATAGTAATTTAACCTTTTTTTTTCTCGGAAAAAACAAAATAAACTGTTAAATACGTAATGTAATATTTTTACAAGCTATTTTGGTAATTGGGTGTAAAATTAAAAAGAATAAGAAGGCAGTGCAGAGGGCATGGGCCAAGGGCACCCCACCCTACCGTCTGACATCCGCCTATAAATTCCCAAACATCAGCATAGATATGTTATACCATATACCCTACACTTCACATTTATTAACTATAGCTACCAATCTTCTCATTCTCTCACACCCCACCGTAAATAATTATTTGATTAGCGGATTTTAAAACTATCTACTTATAAACTAGTTTATCAACTCGGTATCATGCAAAACGACATTTATTGTTTGGTTGTGTCTAACTTAGAGAACTTCATTGGCTTCTCTTAGTTTGATGTGTAGCGTGAGCACGCAAATGTCACTCATGACATGACATTATTGCTTGATATGATATTTGATCTTCTCCTATTCAAGATTCACTTTATCATCATGCGCATTTTACTTGGGTGTTAGAGTCGTTTCAACGAACACCGCATTAATGTTAATTAAATACTTGGTCATGTCTCTTTTATGGTTTATACAAAATAAACCAAATATATATGTATAAACAAATTAATCTCTTTAGTTAAATTTTACTGCTGAAATAAAAGAAAACATTCACCCAATAGCAATATTCGAGAATATTTAGAAAGAAAAAAAAAAAGACTTAGCATCATGCTTTGTCCAAGTTACTTTGATTAACTAAATCAATAATTGATGATAAGAAAGTAAGAACTTTGGCAAGATACAAAAAATAATAATATAGAATTTGGGCATAACCATACTTAGTTATGCCGAAAACAAAAACATTGATGTGATTGTTCACGAGAAAGATCCATTGGGCATGACCCAGACACGTGTCAAGTGATTATTGGAAACAAGATGGCTTATAGATATTGCCAATTTGCCATGGCCTCCCCCTCCACTTGATGGTAAACCTTGTGTAAATAAAGGTATATAACTTAAAAATATATATGGATTTATGGCAGCTTAAATCAATCATTGATTAGTTGACGTTAGTTGTATCAATATTACTTCATTTCAAAATTAATTGGTAAAAGAAAAATAACTTGGGTATCTCGTAAATCTTGTTAGATTTCATTATCTTTTCGATATAGAATTCTTAACAAGTTGTGGCTAAATGGATCGATCTCACCAAAATATTGACAGTATGTCACTAAAGCTCTCAAGTCTCGAATGAGATATATTGATCAATTCTACCATATTGAGTGACGAGGAAGGTAAATACTCAATTTACTTTACATTTTTTTGTACTTGTATTACTATCATCTCAAGCATCATATGTACTTATAGGGACCATGTGAAAGCAGTCTCACAACAGAGATTTTAAGTCAAGAGGATGTAGCTAATCTCAAAGTCACCATGTTCATCTTACACCATAAAACATCAACCCCAATTATAGAGCTATGTATTTATTGTTTTCAAGTATGAGTTTGACAGCAGATTTAGAAATTGAATCTAAATTTAAAAATATGTTTGAAACTATGTGTGTACTCATAACATAACAATATATATATATGAAAATAAAATAGGTCACTTTGGTTGAATTTGAAAATCTTTGCTTTTTCAAATCTCAATTCTTCTTAAATTTTCAAACTCAACAATCCACCCTACCCTCCTCCAATCTTCCTATTAGTGAAAACCATTTTTTTCTGAAGAAAAAAGAGAGAATAATTGAGAAATATGTAGTGTAATATGAGCAGTCAATTTACAAGCCTTACCCTTCACAACACTCACATATGAAAGACATGCAAACATAAGAAGGAATCGAGAAGGATAACCAGAAGTTGGGCAAGAAGATGATATGAATTTGGAAAAAACTTGTTTTCGAAACAAAATTTTCAAATTTTTGGCCCACCAACCCCAAATTTTTACAATTCACTCACTCCTTTGTCTTCAGAAAAAAAAAAATGAATCGAGTGGCGCACCAAACACACCCTAAGATATTCACACGATCTGAAACATTTCATCCAAATGCTATAGACACTTTCATCTCGTTCAAAACACATGAGGAGTTTATTCTAATATACCCAATGACACGAAATAAATATGTGTTAATTTTAATGCGATAAAAAATATGGAGAGACTAAAATTAATCGAAACCCTAAACAACAGAACATAATAAATCTAAACTTGTAATTTAACCAAACCGAACCGATATCCATCCCGATATATTTAGAGTATTATACAGTCGTAGCTAAGGTAGGGGTAGGTGAAAATTAGTATGTGTTAGGGTTAGGCATCACAGCAAAAAGGCTACAAAATTAAAATTATAGGGTATCAAGTTCTCAGCAAAAAGGCTGCTTCTTGGGCGAGAGAGAGATATAGAGGCAGTGGCAGGGGCAGTGGCAGTCCTATATATAAATTAAACACCAGTAAACAAACAGCTAACGTTCCATCAAAATGCAACTAAATATAAATAATATTTTTAAAAATTTTAATTTAATTGTTCAAGAAGAGGCTGCTGCTGATTTTGGGTCGCGAACTTGGAAGAAATGTCGATTTTTGACGACGATGTCGTACATGTGCATGGGCTTGAATTTGGCGAAGCTTTTGGGGAGGGAAATGAGGTCGGCCGAGTCGTGGGAGCGATGGAATCGGACGAGTTCCTCCGGTTCGGCGGATGAGTTCCGGTACCGAGTCCACCCGAGTTCACCCAGTCGCTGCTCCAGTTCCGCGTACGACCCGATCACCTGGTTCGCCGGAAGGTACACCAGCACTCTCGGCCGAGCCCCTGGCGCCGTCGCCGTCCCCGGATACGGCGGGTCCTTCCCCTCGAACGACTCCCGCGTTGGGTTCGCGATCAACCGGGCCACGCCGTTCTTGTCGAACACCCAAACGCCCGACATCGTATTGTAGTGAAGAACAAATAGAGGAGCTGTTGCATTTATAGCGCAACAAATACATGCCTTTTTGCACCCAAGAAAAATTAAAATTACTCGCTCTGATAACCGTTGGATGTAGATTTTAAAGTTCTTATGTCCGTGATAACTATAAGATATAGATTCGAGTTACTTATTTTTGTGGTTTTTCTTCTCCGATACATCTAATTGTGTGAAAATATTAATCCACTCGTTTTAATTTAAAATTTTCTTTATGTGGTGTATTTTTAGTGGTGAAAATTTTAGATTAAAGAAAATGTACCAATTGGAAAGTCAATAAAAGCTTTTGTTTTTTTAGGATTGATACGTGTGTAGGCAAGTATTGAACAAATTATTTATGGAAGTTAGGTTGTAAACTTGGGAAAGAAACTTGTACTTATGATTTCACCATATATCTAACTAAAGGTTTAAAAGGGACTCGACAATATTTTACTACACTCCCATCAACATCAATATTATCTCATGTTTTGTCAATTTAAATCTAAATATTAAGAAGTCGTGAGTTCGAGTCTCCATCTCATATTTGTACTAAAATAAAGCTCACATTTTGTCTAATATATTTTTATTGGTTTATTTCTATTGTATAAAATATACACATGTTTTTACTTAGGTGTCAACTGACCACCATTAAAAATTTGACACTGTCTATTTCTTAAAACAAAAAAAAAGAACAATGTCTTTCTTTCTATACTTCTCTGTTTTATACGTCAGAACTTTAATGATAATCACCAAAAGATGGGTCAGCATCTAAATATGGTTCTTTTTTAATTGTATAAAAAGGGATTGGTAGGGAGAGGGAAGGTAGGGGAGGGTGTAGTGTCGTTAGAATTTAGAAATTTAATTTAATTTATTTATATTGTAATATAAATGGGAAAAAAACAATCTCGAAGTACTTGGTTTACTATGTCTAGTTGGTGTTGAAGCCCCACTTCGTGTACTTGCCTTTGAAATTCAAGTCCCTTTTTTGTGAAAATAAATAAATCGGTTTTTACGATTTACACCATCATAATCACATGTCACGACAAAAATTCCCTAATTTGTATATTTGTTTAAATATTGCTGCTTTTTAAATAATTCGAAAATTATGGTAGTAATTAATTGTAGTTGAGTATAAATGGAACGGTAGGGTTGTGTAAAAATGATGTCCGAGTAAATTTGGAAATATACTTTTTCATAGTTTTGTTATTTCAAAAATATAGAAATTTAAATAATTAATTTATAGAGCAATTTATTTTCAACGGCCGTCTTAGCTCAGCTGGTAGAGCGCATGGCTTTTAACCATGTGGTCGTGGGTTCGATTCCCACAGACGGCGCGTGGCTTTTATTGAAAATTTGTTAATCCCGTTTTATCCATTTCTAATATTGGATGAAATGACATTCGGCCCATGTTATTAATTTGGGCCTCCATCGGGGGGGATAAATACAATGAGAAATGAGCCATTTAGTTTATTCTTTCTTTCCTTCGGGAGTTAGAGAAATATTTTTCTATTTTGAGTGAAGTCTGAAACTAAATTTATATATTGAATAAATAAAAGCAAATCTGAAGATGGTTAGTAAATAAAACCTCTATTATTATTTTTCACTTTTTTTTAGTTGAGTTCAACAATTATGAGATCTATACGGATGAACAAACTCAATGTTAACATGTGTCTTATCCATTAAGATATATTCAAATTTTCTAAAATATCAAGTTAGAGTATAAATATTTCTACAACAAGGTTGCAACCCTCTTGTGAAATTGAGTTGAAAGCTTTATCACAAAGAATACCCTTCTTTAGACCCAACATCTAAAACAAGAGAATGATATTATAACAAACCAGTGTGAGGAGGAATATATATATGTATATGTATATATATATACTTTTTTTTTTCTTTTTGAGGTAAAAGGAATATTGAAATTGTTGTGTTAGTGAACAGGAGAGGAAATGATGTATTCATCAGCAACTTTAATTTTCTAAAATTAAATATTCAATTATGAAGGAAATATTATTGGAAGTTTTAACTCCCAAAAACTCAATCTCAGAATAACCCGAACCTCCCATTTAATTAAACAAAAAAAAATGCATCTTTCTACTAAATATTATAATGTTATAATAATTGTCCTAACTAAACAATTTTTTCAGTTGGTTGAAAAATGTAACTCACCATCACACTAGAGAAATTACCAAAAGTATGGAATCCAAAGCCGCCCTTGCTTTACACTTTCTTTTATCTTGTATGAAAAGGGTATAATCGGTATCCAATGTCCAATTTGAAAGTGGTGAAAAAGAAAAGAAAATAGAGAAAAAAAGTTTCCAACCCCACCCATGTGCACTTCTCTTAAGTGCAACTTACAAGAACACCAAATTCTTCCTTTATTGGCCCATCTCATAATTTGCAACTCAAAAAGTAAAAAAATAAAAATAAAAAATAAATCCAAATTTTGTTTTCTTTTGTGCTTCTTCCCACAGCATGATTGCCATTGCCAAGTCTGTAGCTTCCCATTTTCCATTAGAGCTTTTTAGAATTCTTTCTTTGGACAACCATTTTCTAAAACAATTTTCTTCAAGAAATAATGCCAACTGTTTTTCTCCATAAAGAATATTAGTAATGGAAGTTGAAACTCATTTAACTGAGAAATTACTTAAAGGAGGGTTAAAAAGGGAATGGAAGCAAGAGAAGCAAATTGAAGCAGGAATACATTTCCATTCCAACTGTATATTAATACAAGAACAAAAAAAAAAACTAAAAACAGGCACACATATTTAGTAGAAATTAATACAAATAAAAATAAATCTGTAACACTGAAATTGTCTGTAAAGAAGACTGCGGGCTAGAATCTTCATTCAGCCGCCTCAGCCTTTGTACTGTCCCATAACCACGACCCAACAGCAGTCAAAATGTTCTTTCCAATAATACCCCAATCCTTGCTCCTAAATTACGCTCAGATCAGATTAGTCCCAAAACAAAACACTTCCCCACGCCCCTCTCCACAACCCAACATCAGCATCTTAAAATTGACGCCACAAAGGTTAAAATTGGAAACTAAAAGAAACCCCCCAGTAAAAGTAAAAAACCATTTTTTTTTCTTGTGGTTGAAATTTATTACTTAGACCCGAAAGTTCTTGCCGGTGAAAGTCTGGCCGAACTGCCAATGGGCGGGAACGATGTTCCATGACGTGGAGGTTCGTCGGTCACTGCCGGTCACCCTGAAGGACAGAGCCTGGCCCACCAATACGGCATTGGATTGCCAGTTTTGCCCCCAGTTTCTGGTCATGCTCATCCACCCAGTCCTCGATCCCTTCACGCTCACCCTCACGATATCTCCTGCGCCTGCCACGTTGGTGATTAGCACCAAATTGAAGTAACGGAAGCCGTTGATCGTGAACCTGATTCCCCCCTGCTTCCGACATGGCACTCTGCGTAAATTCATTTTTAAAATGATTATTTTAGTCTATAAAGTATTTTAACCAGAATAGGATTTAAAATTTAAAATTTAGTACTCACCGG